TTGTGGGTAAAGTACTCGCAAGATTCCCGCTCAACCGCCTCGTCACTCACATCGTTGAACCGCACGTAGCGGAAGAGCAATACAGAATCCGTTCGGGCCGTAGCCCTATAGATATGATGTTCGCGGCTCGTCATTTGGAGGAGAAATGCCGAAAGCCACGCCAGCCATTTTACATTCGGTGTGTTGACTTCGCCAAAGCATTTGACACGGTGAACCGCGAGGCACTGTGGCTGGTGGTAGGTGTTTACTTGCCTGAGCAAGTTTTTATGTCTAACTTAATGTCTGCATAGTGGTATGCGTGTGAGGTTGCAGCTCTGTGGACAAACCTCGGAGGACTCTTGTTGTCTGGTCTGAAGCAAGACTGTGTCTTAGCCCAAGCCGTATCTCTAATATCTACCTTCATGCAATGATGTCTTGTGCTTTTGATGCTGTTTGTGATTATGGTATCCGTGTGGAGCACCGTATTGTTGCTGGGTTGTTGAACATCCGTCGTCTCGGAGCGAGAACCCTAGAGTGTGTGGCCACCATCCGTATGTTGACGACTGTAAGTTGTTTACATACAGCGCGAATGAATTGCAGCACGTGAGTTCGGTTCTCGCTTCGACAGCAGCTAAGTTCGGGCTCACCATCAACAGAAGCATGATTGTTTGTCTTTTTCAGCCTTCATCAGAAATGGAATCCGTGAGCCTGCCGCATATCCACATTAGCGACGACTTATTGGAAACCACTTCGTGATTTTGCTGCAGATGACGTGCGCATCCGCGATTTGAAGGCGGCTGCTGCTTTTGGAAAGCTGGAAAAACGTGTGTGGAAGAATCACAAGGTGACTGTTGGGACGAGCTGTTAGTGTACTGGTCGATAGTGCTGTGCGCTCTTCCACACAGAAGCGAAACGTGAACGCTGTACCGGAAGGACGTCAAATATCTGGAGCGCTGTTACCAACAATGCATTCGTCCGATACTGCACATCGTTTGGTGTGACCGAGTTGCAGACACGGAAGTGCTGCGGGGCAATGACATGTATGCAGTGGACTGCATCTCTCTGCTGCGGCACCTTAGGCGGCTGGAACATGTCAATCGCATGGATTGGACGCGGATACCCAAACAGGTGCTGTAAGACAATTTAGTTCAGGGAAGCGGCACACTGAAAAACCGAAATTACGTTACCAGGACATGATGAAGGTGAGTTTATCACGAAATAATGTTGGTTTCAAGTGTTGGAAATCAATGACAGTTGATCGGATCAGATGGCGTGACCTGATCAAGTGGGTGGTTGCTCAGGTGCAGCAGAAAGCACTGCTACATGCGGAGGAGAAGCCACATGCGCTGATGGATTCTAGGCAGTCGAGACCAAGCGCATACTGCTGTAGCCCTGTGAGGTAAGCCCGTCTGGTAAGCCATCAGCGTGGTCACTTGGGACTAACATCTAAGAGGCGACGATTCGGTTGAATAGGTAAGCATCATCAGCGCACCGCTTAGTAAGTACTTTGCTTTCGATGCGGTTTACTTGTCCAGGTCAATGTGGTACGTGTGCTGCATCCTCGTTGCCTTTGATCAATACTTGTGCCTGTGCGCTGAGATTCTTGCATTTCAGGTGTTGGCTGATGATTGATATCCCCGGTGTGGCTGCGCTTGATGTGAATGTTGACAAAGTGCCTACCTTTCTATTACCCACCACCTCGTCTCTACTGGCTCCAGGCTCCCGCAAGTTTGAATCTCTGATGATCCATCAGCGAAGAACGCAGAAGCCATCTCAATTTGCACTCTTCGCATCGTACTGTTTTGCGCAAGGGGCATAGGCGTTATTCACCCTATTTATGAAAATGATGGTCTATGTGCCCTCATTGACGCAACTACTGGAAAACCAATTCACAACCAGTGGAACTAATATGAACACTGTCGCCTATCTAACAAGCGTCGTCCTCTTGGATGGTGTCCTCGGGATGGTTCACATCAGTGGTTGGTGACCTTGTCGGACATGGTACGGTCGCGCGCTTTGTGGTACTTTCGAATTTACCGTCGTACTTCTAACTCTTAGTACTCCATCTAGGCCAGTTTTACTTTCTTCCTCACCTCATTTTTCTGTTTTATTTTTATCTCATTTTATTCGACGTTGACTTGTATTGCTCTCCTGGCAACACGAGTTCCAGTAACTGGAGCCACCACACTTCGGCACTCGAATCACAGTAGTTTAACTGAGCTGAACTGCTTATATTTACATGGGCTTAGAAATTTAGATCATGTAGGTAATTTTTGCTCGGTCCGATCTAGCCGAAGAGGGCTGCTTCATCCAATCTGTCTCTTCTTCCTTCTCAGGTCAGATAATATATGCGCCAGGGAGTCTAGTGTACATCCATACAACCAGTGCTACTTTCAACATATTTGTTTACTCCCTAAGGGAACACGTATGGTTTTTTACGGTACCTCACTTTCCTTGTTCAGTTGCTCCGGTGTTTGACAAAGTGCTGTCGCGCATTTCGGACTAAAAGCGGAAGTGTTCTTTAAAGAACACCCTCATTAATGCTCTACTCGTCTCCTCTGTGAGCCAGTCAAAACTTGAACAGCGTTTTATCTTGTAATCTGCTCGTTGTTTCTCCTTTCACCACTAGATTGCGAATACCTTCTTGCGATTCTTTCTATTGTTTTGACCCATAATCCTAATCCGAATAGTGAAGATTTGTCGTTCACACTTCAATCCATGGCCACCATGGGCTAGAACCTGATTCCGCTTTGCTTTTATAACTATTTTGTTATTGAGACTGAGACTGTATTTAAGAGCAAGTAGAAAGGTTTCTGTACAACTCTATCGAATTACGAAAAATCAAAATTTACTTGTGAATTATCAGCAGTTGTGTCTGGTCTGTTGATTGTTTATCCATGTTCGGTTAGAAATTTGTACTAGCGTCATTATTTCCGGACATACAATGTATTCTTTTGGCACTGTATGTGCATCGTTTCACAAAAGCACAGGTTTCCAAAATAATCGTCGATACGGGTTTTAAAACACTTCACAGAATCGGCCTCTATTAATCCTTCTGGTAGTGTATTCCATAAGTTTACGATTCTTCGTTCGATACAAAGCTGATGTGATACTTTGTTCATGCTGGGGACCCTGAGTTTGTAACGATGTCCTCGGGTGTTACAGGGTTCTCGCAGGTGAAATATTGGCCGTAGTATGGGGAAGTGACTCAAGTGTAGTACTCGATGGGTCATAATAAGATCAATTCTTACTCGGCGATAGGATAGTGTGTAGAGTCCGAGCTTTTCACAACGTTTTTCATATGGAAGCTTTCGTAGACTTGGTATCATTCTAGTTGCGATATGCTGTATTTTCTCCAATTTTTCAGTTTCCCACTGGGTTATCGGATGGTAAGCTGGGGCACCGTATTCAAGGATTGGTCTAATGAGCGAGGTGAATAGACGAGGGACGGTTTCTTCGGACCATGTGGAGAAACTGCGTCGTAATGCCCAGAGCATACGAAGTCCCGCACGGTACAATTTCTCTGTATTTTCTAGTGATCTTAAATCATGTCGTGAGAGAACTAAGTCTCTGACAGATGTGTTGGGATGGAGCAACTGGCCGTCCAAGGTGTATGATCGAGTGGCTGGACGTCTGGTGATACTGATAAACTCCGACTTGCTTGCGTTAAGAGGGAGTTGCATTTCAGTGGACCACGTTGACAGTCGCTCTAAGTCATGCTGGAGGCGAGCGCAGTCGTCCTGGTTTTCAATGATCCTCCAGATTTTCAAATCATCTGCAAACAGGACACATGGTGACTGGAGCTGCTGCGGAAGATCGTTGATATGAATAAGAAATAATGCTGGCCCAAGTACAGTTCCTTGAGGCACACCACTGGTCGATGGGAACCATTCTGTCAGATAGTCATTGACCTGTACTCTAAACCTTCGTCCCACAATAAACTCTTGTATCCACAGAAGTAACGTGCCACCGATTCCGTATGTCCTCAGTTTACCAAGGAGTACCTCGTGGTTCACTCTATCAAACGCCTTACTAAAGTCGATGTACACCACGTCAACATCCTTCTGTTCATTGAGAGCTCGAACCCACTGGTGGTTTGCGTACATCAAGTTGGTGATGCAGTATCGCCCTTTCGTAAAGCCGTGTTGCGCTGGCGTCAATATGTCCATCGATTCGAAGAACGACAGCAGACATTTTTTCACAACCTTCTCGAGAACTTTGGATAATACCGAAGTCAAACAGATCGGTCTATAGTTCTCTATTTTACTCGGATCACCACCCTTGGGAAGCGGTTTAACTATCGAGCATTTCCAGTCGTTCGGGACGGATCCTTCAGAGAGCGATCTATTGAAAAGGTTTGTCACAACTGGTGAAATGATAATCGATGGGGACTTGAGTATTAGTGGGTGAAGTCCGTCTGGCCCGGGCGGCTTTGCACCATTGAGGTTGACGAATAGCTGATGTACTTCGACTGCATCACATGGTAGGCTGTCGAGCAAGACTTGGGCAACCTGTGCCGGTACTGGAACAGCCGCCGGTTTACTGGAAAATACAGTGTGGAAGTGCGTAGCCAGGGCGTCCGCGCGCTCCGCGCTTGAAATGAGTGTCTTCCCGTCTAAGCTCTCTAAGACCGGTAGGTCGTCTCCAGGTTTCAGTTGACGTTTCAAGTAGGCAACTATTCGCTTGGGTGCAGTTGTAGCCGAGGATGCTAGCTCCTCTTCGAACTGCCGGCGTTTCTTGATCTTTGCGGCGTTACATAAGTTACGCTGTATCCTGTACACCGCTTAATCTTCATCACAACCCGAGCTGATGTATCTATCCCAAAGTTTACGACGTCGTCGCGCTAACTGTCTGTATTCCCTATCAAACCAATGCGGTTTGACAGGTCCGATTTTTGGATACTTAAGGGGAACGAACCGAGTACAGAGCGATTTAAGCTTCCCCTTTATTAATGACCACTACGCCTCAAGTGCTACCGACTCCTTTCGCATTATTTTTCTGCACGTTTTAATTTGTTCCAGAACCACACTCAGTACACACATGGAACCGTGAAACAGGACATTGCCAAGTGGCTTGGTCATTTGAATGCGCAAAATATAACGGATTGGCTAATTCTCATGATCGACGCGGACTCGAGGCCCAACGCTACCAAAGTGTGGTCGAAACTCAGCGTGTTGGACCGAATTAAACAGGATTTCAACGTCCCTGCCGCTGAACAGTAAGCACTTTGCTGCACTTTATTGCTGGACTTTTCAAAGGCCATTGATTTGTCCTCAGAATGGGCGAGTTTGTGACCAATGTTATATTTGTTCATCAGGCACCAAGAATTTATGGGAGCGCGTTGTTTTCTCATCCTAAACTGAACACAATCTCTTAGTAAAATTCGCTTACATGTTGTTCGTTTCCAACTATAGTTACTTGAAGCTTCTCCCCACAGTGTGATCTCGTGCTGGACTCCCATTCGTGGTCTCCACAGTTCATAGTAAACCATTTCCGATGTTGTACTGTATATGACTAGATGTTCGAACCGTGCGCTGTTCGTCTGGCATTAGCATCCTGAATTTGAATGTATGCTTCACCACCTCTTCCGCTAGGTCTCAAATCACTTCTCCATCTCATTCCTTATCAGTAGAGCGTTTCTTCATTCGTGGTTGTGTAGCAGCAGCGAATCATCGGTGCAAACTAACGATGCGTTTCTGCCGATGTTATCCCCGTTTTATGCTCTAAAACGATCCACCTAAATTCGTATTTCCACCTTGTCATCCACTGTGGCTCCTATTCGCGTCCGCTTTATGCAGCGCCCAGCATTCAATGACACAAACACAGATCTCTAAGTTCCTTTTTTAGTTCAGCCCTCTTTTGTTGAGGTTCGTAGATAGCAAAACGCATGGGCTATCACAGTAGGTTTAGAACCACTGTCAGCTGCTTTTAATGCACAGCGGTGATCATTCGCGATCGATAATACTAGCTTCCAACAGCCTAAGAATTTGGGGCAGCTGATCGTGCATTAGAACTGTTAACGACTCATCTGGATTGACTTGGTGACCAGTAGTCAGCAAGTGTCGGGTGACTGCTGAGGTAGCTCAGTTTCCCGAGTCAACTGATTCCGTCGTCACAGATCCCATCCGGCTGCGGAACCACTTTGGGATGCGTTTATTGATTCTGACACCTAGACTCCGGTTCCCGCGATTAACGTACCTGTTTTCACAGCTACAGGTAAATTTGTATAGACTGTGAAACATGCACATCCAAGTCATCGGCATCTTAATCGAGCACATTAGCCTAGCTCCAGTCGAGATGAGCAGCCTCAGTTCTACCGTATTGTACGCTCATTTCTGTGAATCACTTATGCGTTTCTCGGTGATCTTCATCAAACTGTCACCTTTGAAAGGTATCTCAATAAAAATGGGCTTCTTCGGGATTAATAGCATACGATCTTGCATGTTTACTTCACAGTGGCGCTCTACGGATGTTTAGTTAAGCAACAGATTAGTAGACCTATCCCAATATTTCTTTGTTACTCCAATACAAAAGCAGACTTGTCTCACTGTTGCCCACCTATAAAGCACTACGGGAACTGGAACAAAACTAAAGTCTGCTAAAGGCACCGACGTTGTTATTCTTAAAGGTCTGCGTTCTTACGTAAGATGGAAACAATACTGTCTGGTAGCATAAAGTTCAAGCCGCACACTAGTTTCGGAACTGTCCGCTCAGTGGAAAAGCAGTTATGTTGTGAATTACAAATCCTTAGACCCCATGGATTCATCTCTGATGGCAAATATAAGGCGTTAAAAATGGGTACCCGTATTTCACAAATGTATGGTCTTCCTAAATTACACAAAGCAGGAATGCCCATGCCACCAATAATCTCCATGGTTAATTCACCGTACCATGCCATTCAAGTCAAGTCAGTATAAGCTTTATGTACCCAAAAGGGTGCACTTTCAGCATTTAAATTATCAACTGTAAATTTACTAATGGGTTACCATTAAAAATGTAAAGTTTACAATGGGTAGAAAATTGAGGATTCACTGTCATTGATCGATCGAGCAACGATACCAAAAAGCTTGATTAAAGCTACGGGATTTGTATCCATCGAAAACGGAAAACGTTTCATAAAAATGTTTCTTCAAAATTCGCTTCAATTGATGTACGATTTTGTGTCCAAAGATAATAGATCGCGGATAGTGCGCGTTACTTGTGTACGTTTAAATTTGAATGGAGTAAGTGCCTCAGTGACCCGTGCAATACTGAGATATACACTGTAGATAATGTAAACATGATGTTCGGCGAAAAGAGCAGCGGCCGATTTAAAGGCCCCGCCGAATGGCTGAGCAGAATGCTGGAGGACATAAGAAAACCCATAGCAAAAAGCACTCTTCCAAACACTTCTGAACTATTTCCTTGTTTGGAATGTCTAAATATGACCGGAAAGCAAATCTGCTCTCTTGATGTTCAGTCTCTTTTCGCCAGCATCCCTTTGAATGAGACTGTTGATTACTTATGTTAATTTATATCAACATATAATGTTCGACTGGCAGTAAAGCCTATGGTGCGCTGAGGATGGTGATGGCTAAATCCTGACAGATAGTCTACCCACTGCTGCTACCGTTGTGTCATTGCCTCATGCCTTGGACGCTTCCTCGTGGCGACCGCTGGGTGCATGCTGGGTTATGCCCTTCTCTTTGCTAAGATTCAGGACTCCAATCCGCATGAGTCAGTGAACTGGCCATGTGCTAGACCCGCTGCCTTTCGGGTGTACATTTAATCGAGGGCTTTGGCTGAGGATCCGAGTCGCTCTCCTGTCATGTGTGGGCGCCCTGCGAGTATCATAGTCCATCCTCTTCGAAGGTTAGGAAATGGTCGATGGTCCTTTTCCCGTAAAACCTAGCCATAGGAGAAAACAGGTCTACGGATTATAAGCTCACAGCTCGATTGGCGTAGAGCACGAGCGCCACGTATTGTCCTTGACGGTGGGAGAGCACCTCTAGGTGTTCAATGGTTTGCTAGTGTCCGCCTCAATCCAGGCAACCCCTGGTCAAATCGGTGCAAACCCGCCAAAAACCCACCTGCGTCTGGCCGTGGTCGCAGGTGTACCCTACTACGGTCGCAAAACATTATGAATCGTTCCAATACCTCAAATGCTTCGTGTGACGGCCCTCAAGCAGATCCTAATCTGTCTCTGCAATTACTTTCCCGAGCTGGATCTGCTCCCCACCGCCTTGTGCGTCAAGCTATTGAGCCAAAGGCTCCGGGTGGAGTCCCTCAAGTAAACCTCCGAAGCACATCCGCCACCTCGCGTGCGAATGTCCACCAATGCAATCGTATGCCTGCGCGCAAAACACTCAGCATCGGGTGCTGGAATCTGCGCACACTACTAGACCGGAACTCCAGTGAGCCCCCCGAGCGACGCACTGCACTGGTCGCGATGGAGCTGGTGCGTTACCACATCGATATTGCGGCGCTCAGTGAAACCCGGCTCGCTGAACAAGGTAAGTTGCATGAAGCGGGTGCTGGCTACACATTTTACTGGGTGGGCAACGCCGCCTCAGCACCACGTGACCATGGGGTTGGATTTGCAATATCCGATCGCCTTCATGGCCAGCTTGTGGGTGAAGCAACAGGCATCAGCGCGCGACTGGTGACTGTTCCCCTACGACTCAGAAGAGGTAAATTTGCCACTTTTATAAGCACGTACGCTCCGAACATGTGTTATGCTGATGACACGCGTGATCAATTCTACACTCAGCTATCCTCTGTGATACGGTCTGTACCGAGGAGCGACCGACTATTTCTGCTGGGTGATTTCAACGCACGCGTTGGGCGTGATGCATCAACGTGGACAGTTGTTATCGGTGCGCATGGCATTGGCTCAGCGAATGCGAACAGTGACAGGCTGCTCTCACTGTGTGCCACTCACGGCCTGACGATCACGAACACTCGGTTTGCACTGAGTGCGAGTGATATAGCAACCTGGACGCACCCACGGAGTGGTCACGCCCACCTGCTCGACTATGTCATCGCACGTCAGCGTGATATGCGTGAAGTGCGCATGACACGTGTACTGCGTGGAGCTGTTTTGTGGCACTGATCACAAGTTGGTGCGGACCATGCTGTACATATATTTTCGTAAATCATTGTATTGCACTCCCGCCGTGAATCGGCGTAAATTTAACATTCTCTCGCTCGGTACTGTGGCGAAACGTACTGAGCTGGAGAAGGCGATGGCTGCACGCCTGTGTGATGTGGAATGCATAGCCACAGTGGGCGACCTGTGGCACCACATTCGCGACCAGATGACAGCTGCTGCCGAGGAGACCATCGGGCGCGCAAACTGTAAGCGACCCGATTGGTTTGATGAGAACAGTGCGACGATTGGCGCATTGGTGTCAGAGAAGAATGCAGCATTTGCTGCACATGTGGCAGACCTCAGTGACTTGGGGAAGAAGAGTCAGTTTCGCAAACTTCGACAGCGACTGACCCGAGAGCTCCGTCGCATTAAAAATGCATGGTGGACGGAGAAGGCGAAGTCGATGGAATGCTACGCCGAACGTCGCTAGCACAAGGAATTCTTTGACTCCTGGAAGGCCGTGTATGGACCGAGGTTGGAGCCGCTGAGGACACTGATCGATGGTAGTTCAGGCGCTACCTACACACAGACTGCAGACATAATACAGGTCTGGCGGAAACACTTTGACTGTCTCTTGAACAACCGTTCAGAGACCGACTGGCCTACTTTGAACGGCCTTAAGCAGCATAATGTAAGGGCGAGTCTGGCGGACATGCCTACACTGGATGAGACGCAGAGAGCACTTGCTCAGCTGCGAAACGGCAAGTGTGTAGAGGCCCACGGGATCCCGCCTGAAGTATTGAAACACGGCGGACCCGCGTTGTTGACTGCGCTGCACCACTTGGTGCAACACGTATGGATTGATCAGGAGGTGCCTGATGAGCTGAAGGATGCGCTTGTGCTACCACTGTACAAGAGCAAAGGGAGCAAGCAATGTTACGCGAATTATGGTGGCATCAACTTGCTGACTTGTGTGGGCAAGGTAATATCCCAAGTCCTGCTCAACCGCCTCGTCAGTCAGGTCGTGGAATCTAACGTGGCGGAAGAGCAGTGTGGATTCCGCTCGGGTCGCAACACTATAGATATAGTGTTTGCGGCTCGTCAGTTGCAGAAGTGCAGAGAAAGACACCAGCCATTGTACTAACTTT